TTTTCTCACATATCTTAACTTTGGAAGAAAATACTGCTGTTTCTTCCCATTTTAAAGCAATTTATAATAGCCTGGCATTAGCCTGATGTATTGAGCATTTCAAGCGAGGCCTCTTCATCAGTTATTGCTAGGAAAATTCACTAATTGGTTAACAGCATTGCCTGATGTCTTAATTTGTAGAAGAACTAGAAACTAGCATCTTTCAATGATCATTTGGAATTGGGAAATGTTGGCTTTTCAGGGAATAAGTGTTCTTTACTTCCTTTACGGACAATCATGGACTGTGATGTCTCCTTGCAGAATAAGAAGGAATTATGTAGCCTTGCATCTGAGCTCTTCTGGTCTTTGTCTATTAATTTGTTTACTACTACAGTGTCTGGTTGATTAACTAACGCCTGCCTGTCCTTCTGGAACTCCCACAGATACTTAGCTCTATTTTTGTCCACAATCTTCTATGCAAAAATGAGTCCAGCAAGTGCACATACATTCTAGATATGAGAAAGATGTTAAATCATATGTTTTTTATAGTGAACTAGCTGGATACCCATGCTTCGCTATGAAACTATGTGATCAGGCTTAGTTTTTGGGGAGGAAAATAAGGAAAAAAACCTGCCTCTGCCTATTAGCATCTGTTGGTATTCATCTGTCTAGTGTCCTGTCAGTGTGTGAGAGAGTTGAGGGCTGTTTGGAAATTGAAACAGTATTTGCTGTGTGAGCAAGAAGGAGACAGCAAGGAGCCTGGGCATGGTTTAGCTCAACTGTTGTGTACTAAAGCTGGTTGCTGCTGTGAAACTAAAACTGAAACTGAAACTCCTCTCCTCTGCTTGTGTTTTGCATTTGGAACAGATTTCTTTTCAGGTGGGGAGGGGGAGTAGAACTCCTTAGCATCAGAGCGTGTTAATAATATACAAAATACTAATGCTCTGATAATCATTTGGAAAATCCTTTCTTAGTGAGCACCTAGAAGCCAAGAGGGTGCCAAATTTCAAGTTTGTAGACTTTACGGTTCTTGTGATTTTGTGATGATGCATGAGTTCTTTTTCGCTTTTACGTATGTACATTAACAGATAAGATAATATCTTCATCAGGCAAAGATGGGCAGTGGTTATGGTGGTAGGTTGTGCGTGTGCAGCTTAATGTACTATATATTAGGCAACCATGTGACCTAATTGGGTTATACTTTGAGAGAAAGGCAGTCAAGCTGATATGACCAGAATAAATATTTGATTTTAGACTGACCATATTTTTTACTGCAATGCAGGAAAATTTTGTGATGAATTATGATCACATATGATAAATAGAAAAATAACAAATGCACTTCAACCATAACTCAATATTTATTTACTGAAACAGAAAAACAGAATAAACATCAATGGGCAAAAAAGCAGTGGGGTTGGAGCAACTTCTAATTTCTTGCAGGCTTCCCCATGGATTTTGGTTGTGGAAAGCTCCCATGTGTGTATGTGTGTGTGTAAAATGTATTCAGAACCTATTCTGTCAACCTGAGACCCAGCTGTTTATCAGTCCCTGCTGATGTTGTCTGATTACCCAGATTTCATAATTTTATGCATTCAAGGTCAGTCTTCGTTGCAGTTTCTCTGTTGAACTTCTGTTTACCTCTTTTCTTGCACAGAGGGAGACTAATGTTCTTTCTAAAAACTGTTGTAATATTCTTTACATCGAACATGTAAACAAGCTAAATACACTACTAACATGGGCTGCATCCTGCCCATACCCTTTTATCTTTCTTGGAGATTTCAATCTACCTCATATTGACTGGACCCTAAATAATTGTACAACTGAAATCATACACACAACCTTCTACAATGCTATTACAAATCTAGGTCTTGAACAACTAGTAACCAACAACACTAGACTGAACAACTGCCTCGATCTCATCTTCTGCAATAGTTTGAATTTAATTTACCGAATACAAACCAAAGAACCCTTTTCCAGTAGTGACCACAATATGATTGACTTTTGCCTCAACATACGTCCACACAAAAATCACCACAATGATGTCATCCCTAGTTGTAACTTCAAAAAAGGCAACTATGATCTTATAGATAACGATCTCTCATCCCTCGATTGGCAATCTCTATTCACTGGATGCAATACTGTTGAAGACCATTACAACATATTTTTACTTGAAGTCAAAAGAGTCATCAAACTATATGTTCCAACAACAACTCCAAAAACAAAACAAAAAAGCAGATTACCCATATCAATAAGGAAACTTCAATCCAAAAAGAGATCACTCTGGCGGAAAAACAAATCTGGTCACGTTGCTAATTTCAAAAACCGATACAAAAATTTATGCCACCAGATAAAGACCGAATGCACCAATTACCACATTAAACAAGAGGAAAACCTTCTAAGCACCAATTCCACCCGTGCTTTTTACAATTTTGTAAACAACAAACTAAAAGACTCAAGGTCCATCCCTCCCTTGATAGGACCTGATGGTAAAGATTGCAGCGACGACACCATTAAAGCCAACATCTTTAACACATTCTTCGGCTCAGTGTTTGTAAACAGTAATGGATCATGCCCAATGTTTCCTAGCCGTACCACAGATAACAATAATGATCTAATACATATCGATTTTACAGTAGACAACGTTGAAAAAGCACTACGCAACCTAAAACCATCTCTATCTATTGGACCGGATGGAATATGTGCCTACTTCTTAAGAAAACTATCCACTGCCATAGCCAAACCTCTAAGCATAATCTTTGAAAAATCTTTCAGAACCAGCTCCTTGCCCAACCTATGGTTACAAGCCACAGTCATCCCCATCTTCAAAAAGGGAGACCCAAGCCTAGTTGAAAATTACAGACCAATCTCCTTATGCTGCGTCACCTGTAAAGTCATGGAATCAATTATTAACCAATCCATCATCCTCCATTTAGAGACAAACAACCTACTCTCCAATAAACAATTTGGTTTCAGAAAAAAACTATCCTGTAATCTGCAACTCTTACACTGCAAAAACATATGGACTACACAACTCGACCAGGGCAAAGCAATAGACGCAATCTACATAGACTTCTGCAAAGCCTTTGATTCAGTGGTACACGACAAACTACTCCTAAAAATAAAATCTTATGGTATCTCTGGACAACTGAATAACTGGATAGAAGCATTCCTGTCAAACAGACAACAAATGGTCAAAATTGGGAACGCCCTATCAAATCCAGTACCTGTCAATAGTGGTGTTCCCCAAGGCAGTGTTCTAGGACCAACTCTCTTCATAAACGACCTTTGTGATCATATCAAGAGCAGTTGCATTCTCTTCGCTGATGATGTAAAGCTGTTCAATACCACAGACAATACTACTACTCTACAAAAAGATCTAGACTATGTATCTGAATGGTCTAACATATGGCAACTTCAAATCTCAACAAATAAATGCTCTGTCTTACATATTGGTAAAAAAAATCAGAAAATAAAATACAAGCTGAATAGTCAAGATCTTGTTGATGACCCAAGCTCTGTAAAGGACCTGGGAATACTCACCTCTAATGATCTAAGTGCTAGAGCCCACTGCAACTACATAGCCAAAAAGGCATTAAGAGTTGTTAACCTAATCCTACGTTGCTTTTTCTCTGGTAATATCACACTACTAACCAGAGCATACAAAACATTTGCTAGACCAATACTCGAATACAGTTCATCAGTCTGGAATCCTTATCACGTATGTGATATTAACACAATTGAGAAAGTCCAGAAGTATTTCACAAGAAGAGTTCTCCACTCTTCTACCCGTTGTAGAATACCTTATGCCACCAGACTCGAAATTCTAAAACTAGAAAACCTCGAATTACGCCGTCTTCGGTCCGACTTAAGCATGGTATATAAAATCATACATTGCAATGTCCTACCTGTCAATGAATACTTCAGCTTTAACCATAACAACACAAGAGCACACAACAGATACAAACTCAAAGTAAACCACACCAAACTTGATTGCAGGAAATACGACTTCAGCAATAGAGTGGTCAATGTCTGGAATACTCTACCCGACTCTGTAGTCTCTTCCCCAAACCCCAAAAACTTTAACCTTAGACTGTCTACTATTGACCTCACCCCTTTCCTAAGAGGTCTGTAGGGGGCGTGCATAAGCGCACCAACGTGCCTACCGTCCCTGTCCTATTGTTTCTCTTATTCTTTTATTTTTCTTATATGTACCCATTTCATATATTCACAACTATGTATACACTTGTACTTATTATCTTGTAAACAATTGACAAATCAAATAAATAAATAAATAAATAAATTCACTAAGTTTGACTCAAAGGCTTCTGAATACAAAAAAAGTTGTGATGGAGTTTCTTTCTGGAAGATGGCAAAGACCAAACTTTTATGACCAAAGTTTTCACCCTAAAATTGACATAAAGTTTATACGTTCCAGAAATATTGTTTGACACAGAAGCATTTATTTTTTTTAAATTACACCAGCAATTTCAGAAAAATGTATTTTACAAAGAAACCAATTTGTTTGTAGGCTGCCAATGTTTAAATAAACAGTTACTAAGTAATAGTCTCAGCTTCCTGTAGTGAAAATTCATTATAGTCATGGACCATCTTTTGAAGAATAATATTCTACAATAAGTTTTCAGAGTTGTCTTTGGTCATCCCAGCTTGTATTGCAATTGATAAAGTTTAATAATGTTTGAGGCAGTAAAATGTTATGATGTTTGAAACTATTTATGACCAATTATGTTCACTAAGTCACCAAGCCAAAGCCAATTGGGCAAGTCTCTCTTTCTCAGCTTTAGGAAGAAGGAAACAGTGGGCAAATAATTTCTGTTATCTTGCGAAGATAAGTGCAGGATGTAGTCCAGGAAGTTTGCATAAAATTGATTCATATATACACAATAAAATAACTGAATTGCATGATTTCATGAAGGAGGCACTGCAGATACTTTATAAAAGATTCGTGGTTTCTGGAGGCTGCAATTTCTGAAAACATTTCTGTATCAAGAGACTGACTGGTTTACTCTTCCATGGCTCTCTCTGTCAGCACCACTCTTCTCCTGATCATCTCCTGCTGCCTGTGGAATACAGAAGCCCACAATTACAAATATGTGCTCACTATACCAAATGGAGGTCCCTGGGGTGCCTGGGGCTCCAGCGAGTTTTGCTCTGAAGGCTATGCAAATGGCTTCTCCCTGAAGGTAAAACTTATTTTTCAGACGCTCTTTTACTTCTGTCTATTCCCTTGAAATTAATTCTTCAGTTTTTCCACTTTGTCTTTTAAGAAAGGCCACAAGATGTATGTTGATGCATAACATGTTTTTGATCCTATACTCAAAGACATCGAGTTTAGTGTACGATATTGCGTGGCAGAACTAGTTTTGGTTGAATTCATTGTCCCATATTGATGGGTAAATGTTGGCAAATCTGAGAATTGAAGGTGAAGGACACCAAGGGGGGAAATGGCTGATCTTGAACTTTATCAGAGTCTCATTTTCTTAGGTAGAATCCCGCCAAGGGAGAGGGGATGATACAGCTCTGAATGGAATCCGTTTGTACTGTGCCAACGGCCATACAATTGAGTCTACAGTTGGACGGTGAGTAACTGACTTTCATGCCCTATTTTATTTTCTTGTGATCAGGAATGGGGGAGGAGATGACTGATCCTTAGTTTACTGCTACTGATTTCAGAAGGGGATGCACTGGGATTAATAAAGCTGATTCTCAGGCACTGATGTGCAATGGTCTCTCTGAATTAGCAGCAGAGACACGGATGGAGATTTGTTTATTCCTGAGAAGTCCAAAAATAGCCACTAATATTTTGTGGACCACAGCAAATCTATCTCCAACCTTTGCTCTTTCTTGATGTGCTCATTGCTCTTCCCCCATTCATTCATGCTCTAAACACCCCTTTATTGACTTTAGTCTCCCTGACACTTTTCTCATTATGCAATCCATGGATCTATATGCTGCTCTTATAACTCTGTTTGTGGGGAGACATGAACTGCAGTCTTGAACTAGATGTGAGATTGCTGTTTATTAAAGTCAGAAGTGTGGTTGCTATTAACGTCCTATACTTGAATTCTGGGGATAGCTCTTTAAACATCAAATCTCAGTCAATTCAGTCACATGCTAAAGAGTATTTTGTTACTGTATTAAAGACTGATGGTAATGTCTCTTATTTACAGTACCTTTGATTTATTTATCAGATTACTTAATCAGGTTCATTGCTAATGAAGGTCTCAGCAATCAAAATGCCTCAAGTCAGGATTAGGGCAGCAATGGGGCTATGAGAGGTTGTTCCAATTTTATTTATTGCAAAATACTCTCTCCCCAGATAAAACCATGGGGAAGGGCCCCATGGCCACCAGAGGGAGCTCTCTATTTTCTTGTGGAACTGAGATAAAAGCTCAGACTTCCAATAAGAAAATGGGGCACTGAATTTCCACAGGTGACTCACTAGCTGAATAATGACTCCCCTCTTCACTAGTGGGTAATAGAAGGAAAAGGTCTTCTTTTCAGGGGAAATGGTGCTTACAATGCTGCAATTTCTGGACTAAGGAGTCTGGGCTCTAATGGTTTCTGATTGTGACATGGAGTAGTCTTGGAACTGTGGTCAAGGGAAGGTTGGGAGTTAAAAAAATGTATTCTTCATTTTTTCCCCTAGCAGCTTATGGCAGCAACCCCAAGATCCTCTTTTTTTCCTACAACAACCCAATGAGTTAGGTTGAAAGTCAATTATAGGCCCAGAGATAATGAATTTTGATACTCAGACATAGAGTTCAACTGGTTCCTAATCCCAGATTTTAGACATTATGCTTGAGCCTTGCAGCCTGATGACCAAAGAGATGTGTATCCATCTTTCCTTATTTTGGCAGGTGGGGAACCTGGACTGCCCCCCAGATCTGCCACTCGGGCTACCTGGTTTCCTTTTCTCTGAGAGTGGAACCCCCTCAAGGAAGAGGTGATGACACATCAGCTAACAACATCCAGTTCACCTGCAGTCATGGTCAACCCCTGCTGGGCAAAGGCCAAAGTTGGGGTGATTTTGGCCCATGGAGCATTCGCTGCCCCTCAACTGGTATATGTGGCATACGAACAAAGGTGGAGGGAATTCAGGGCAAGGGTGATGACACAGCACTGAATGATGTCAAGTTTTACTGCTGTTAATGGCTGATACATATTTTGTCACCTAGAAATACACTTTTATGCTATACCTTTCCAAAGACTGTTAATTATAGTTCAATATTAACTTGAGAAGAGAGGGTATGTTTGTGTAAAATGTGGTGGTACACGGTAACACTTTCCTAGGTGTGTCTTTTTATGATTCAGATCAGAGAGAAATAAATGTGGTGGCAGAAATCTCAAGCATTGCAAAGATTAATTACCTCTTCTCTATCATTTTGAATGAAGTCACAGAACCAAACTGTAATTGTGTATTACTGTTTTCTTGCTTGCAAATAAAATTATGTTGCATCTTCAAAGTCATTTCTTTCTTTCATTGAGCCAGGTTTGGGCCACGATAATGCATATATATTTCTCTGGGTTTATTTATTCTTGTGGTCTGCATTTCACTCTAGAGAATACTGAAATATTAAAGAAAATAAACTACAGATGAGCCAGCACTAGTTAAGAACCAACAAAAATTGATGATGTATGTTTTGGATTTTTTTTAATTATATGTGAATTATGAGCTACAAAAGTTTTCTCCTGTTCTTTAAACACTTACCTGTATATAAAAAGATCTCTCTTCCAATCCCATGCATTTCATTGGCTCTGAATTTTTATTTTTATGTATTTATTGATTTTATGTATACACCATTGCAACCTAATCAGGGTCTTAGTTGCTTACAAATTGACACAAACCCACTTTGGGATAAATTGAAATATAATTAAAACCCTTAAACATAAATAACAAAAAAACAGGTCGCAATGACACTCTTCAGAAATGATCTGTCCTTAGCTTCTTCTTGAAGGTAGCTGGAAGCCAATCAGCATTTCTGAAAATGAGGAACTATCAACTGCTTATCCCAACATGACCACAAGCCTGATTCCACTAGGAAAATGTGTCCTTTTGTTAATTGATATTAATACCAGACCAGGGGTGGGATTCTACTGTTTCGGGCAAACTGGATGTTAATTTTACATCCAGTTTGGCGAACTGGAAGTTCTGAAGAACAGCTTGCCCCGCTCACCCCGCCCCGCCCTTCTCTGGAGTCACCACAAGGCCTGTCTGGCTCTCAGGTAAGTGAAGGATAGCCTCCTGGGAGCAAAAATGGGACGTGGGTGGGGGGGTCGACCGCCCCCCCATGCCCCCCCTTTTTTTTTGCTTCCAGGAGGTTCCAGGGAGGCTTGCTAGGTTTTGGGCCTAGGTGGCCTCCCTGCAGCCTCCCGGGAGCATCCAGCCATCCAGAATGCCTGGATTCAATGTTTCCAAAAGAACATTTGTAGCTAAATGCAGCATTGATTACTGCCTTGGGAATGTTCTAGGTCAGGGGTGTCCAAACTTTTTTTTGGGGGGGGGGGCAGATTTGGTGAGGTGAAAATGTGTGGGGGCCGACCATGTGCGGGAACCGCTGTGCGGTGAAGGGAAAAACACCGGACGCTGGACATGAGTGACAGGCTGAGCCGGTGGGGAGAAAAGGCTGAAGGCCACTCTAAATTTGAAAATGAGCTGCAATTGGCCCCCGGGCCGGACTTTGGACATGCCTGTTCCAGGTGAACAAAACTATGCAGTCTCCTAAAACTGTTGGAGCCAATCTTCTTTCTTTATCCCATATCCTCCTCTTCAAAACAAGTAAGTTGTTCTGCTTTTTCATGCCAGGCTTAGTGTGGGTAAGCTCAGAGTGGATTTTGTAGAGAACAGCTTACCTTTAGGTCTCATTCATTTGCTCAATTTCACAGCATAAATTACACAATATCCAAAGCATAATGCAGACTATTCAGCAGTTTGCCTATCTGCTGCTTCATGGTTACATCCATACTTCTATTGCTGTCGCAACCTTTAAGGAGTCCAGTGGCCTTTTAAATTTGACAAGCAAAAACACAGTAAATATTTCTCACAAATATTTTCCTTCTTCCACTTTATGGTTCGATATTTAACAAACAAAATTACGTGCTGTGTTACTATTCAGACAGTTTGCAAACTTGTGTTTTTTTGTTGTTGGAAGGCAACAAAAGATGGTGGTAAATGCTTCGTAATAAAATGGCAAGTAGAATGGCTCACTTCTACTTGCCATTTAGAAAGGGTTAGAAAGAACGAGAAGGTTAACCTTTGCTTTGTTTCCAATCTCCTTTTCTTGACTTGGTCTTCATAAAAAGTAGCTTTGGAATTGAAGCCATATGGAATTGGGTTCCATATGGAATTGAAGCCGTGTTAAAAAAAAATTCTTTCAGTACAAGTATACAAAAAGTTTCAGATTAATCCAAGATATTTAATGGCTTTAAATATCTGGGTGTTGTATTAAGGTTTAAGTAGAAAGAAGTTCCAGCTGAAAATATACCATGAATAGCATAGAGATGCACGGTAGCTCTCTTTCTTTTTCTTTCTTTCTTTCTTTCTTTCTTTCTTTCTTTCTTTCTTTCTTT